CTCCAGACTTACTTCAAGGAAAGAAAGGATTGGGCAATTCCGCCGGTTCTGGGGCTTACCTTATTATAAAGAAACCCTTGAACCTAATCAATAGTACGGGTGCAGCCGTGCCACGAGGCACGACCATGAAAGTAATTCAAAATACAAAGTTATGTAGTATTACCATCTGTTCTATCCGTTTGAGTTTCGCTTCTCTCCTGTTAAGTCGAGTGCCTTACGCTCCTACTCCTCCTCCTTCTCCTTTAGGATCCTCGTTGGTCCTTTTTACATAACATTGGAATGCAAAGCATTCTTTTCGATCTTGTACTACGGTACACTTCACACCAACCCAATCTCGACAAAGAAAAGTACACGCAACAATAAATTGAACATCATCTGAATTCATCAGAATGAATATCAACTACCTAAACCGAGACTTACACCATTTTACTGAATGACTTTGATCGATCGTACTAGATAGATAGCCTCAGATAGACCATAAACCTTTCATACGAAATTCCTCGATCCATTCATTAATGCGCAAGAGAAAGCGATCTATCAGACTAGAAGGAAGTTGGTCTTTCTCCATGACCCACCCCAGCAGCGCCACGCCAGTAGAAAGAGTTAAGCTACTAAGCTAAGCTGCTGTTGGGGAACTCGGTAGAAGCGATTTGCCGCTTCCGCCTTTCTTAGTGAAACTCTCTAAAATGTAGGAGTTGGATCCATTAGGTTCTTCGATTTATTCAGAAAAGAAACGAGAGACAAGAAAACATCTTTGATTACGATTAAAAGGAACAATCTCAAATAAACCAAGATCAAATTTCGGGTCATTTCTTGGTGAACATGATCTGCCATAATCTCTTCGATCCCTTCATTTATGTGCCAGAATAGAGAGAGAATTGGTAGGAAAGTGGAAGATAGTTTGACTTTTATGTATATGATAATCAAAGGGAGTGGGAAAGCTGCAGTAATTCTTTGGAAAAGCCCGGTTCTCCTTGTCTTCGAGCTTTCATTCCTCAATCCACTGATTCGTTCCTTCATATACCTCCCCACCAATAGATAGAGACAAATGGGAATAACCGAACCACGTCTACAAAATGCCAGTACCATGCAGCTGCTTCAAAGCCAACGTGATGCTCCTTGGTCAGATGACCAAGATATTGGCGAATACCACATATGATCGAGAAAAGAGTACCTATAATCACATGAAAACCATGAAAGCCAGTTGCTAAGAAAAAGGTAGAACCATAAATACTATCCGAAATAGTGAAGGGTGCTTGATAATATTCCATTCCTTGAAAGCCGGTGAATACTAGAGCCAGTGAAACGGTAGCTACTAAAGCGTAAACTGCTCGTTTTTCCTTCCCCGCGAGTATAGCATGATGAGCCCAAGTTACGGCAGCTCCGGATGAAGGGGGAATAAGGGTATTAAGAAAAGGGATCTCCCAGGGGTCTAAAACCGCAATCCCCTTTGGTGGCCAAATACCTCCGATCTCTACCGTAGGTGCCAAAGAAGAATGAGAAGAAGCCCGAAAAAGAGCAAAAAAGAACATAACCTCCGATACGATAAACAGTATGCTTCTCCCCGGCGGGCTCAATTCCTTAGCCGTGAATCTCTGTCCCCAATTAGGGGCAAAGGGCTGTATACCGCATGACGAAGTGCAAGAGTCGAATCTGATCCCTCTCCGGGATCAATTGTTGGAGTATATGAAACAGGATATTCTTTTATTAGGTGGTATCATGCATACTGCTCAAGAAATCTATTATTATCAGTATAAAGTGGATATCGTGAAAAAAAGGACATTATCATCGCTAGCTCTCGAGATTTTTCGTACTACCTATTACGATCAAAAAAATTGGCCCATCTATATCCCTAATCGGAATGAAGATACATTCATTCGTCGTGGTTACTATGGTGGGCATTCCGATTCTTATATACCGTATGGGGAAAATCTATATTCCTATGATGTAAACTCCCTCTACCCCTTTATCATTAAAGCCCTTTCTCCTTTTCATTTCATAATAATAAGGTAAGCATCCAGCTCTCGATCCAGAGCTACTGCTCAAGAATCAACTGAGCTCAGGAAGCCAGGTTAAGGCGTCGACTTATACAGGGAAGATTCAAAAAATTCCTGTCTTTATAAGTAAATCCCACTAAACTAGACTTGTACGCTTGCCATGAAAAGTAGAGGCAAGCGGAGTCAAAGGCCGAGCCTCAACCAGCAAAGGGGGACAGCCATGCCAATCCAAGCAGAGCAAAAGTGCGCCCACTCTACCTTTCTTTCTTTACCCTAGACTTCGTTCTTCAAGGAGACCCATGTGCATTTCCTCTGTTCTGTGCTCTTGAACCCTTGATTCCCTTGTGCCTTTAGTTGAAGTATAGGTCGTCGATTCAATGAGCTAAACCCCTTCTTACCCTGCCTTTGGATTCGTATTTTGTTCGTACACAATCAACGGAGGCCTTCCCGACATATGTTGCAACGTCTCCAATAGCATGCTCTTACTTCGTCTTTCCCTTAAT